CGACGACGACGACGACGTCAACGACGCCGACGACGACGACGACGACGGCGGCGACTACGACGACGCCGACGTCGACGACGACGAAGACGACGACGACGCCGACGACGACGACGAAGACGAAGAGACGACGACGTCGCCAACGAAAACGACGACGAGGGAGGAGGGAGGGCGACGACGGCGACAACGACGACAACGACGACAACGACGAGGGAAGAGGGAGGACGGCGACGACACGAACGACGAAGAAGGAGGAAGGACGGCGACGCCGTTTACGACAACGACGAGGGAGGAGGGAAGACGACGACGACGACGACGACGACGGCGACGAAATAGGAGGGACGACGACGAGACGCCGACGACGGACGATGACGACGACGAGGGAGGAGGAGGAAGGACGACCACGGCGACAACGACGACGGAAACGATCACGACGCCAAAGAGGACGACGACGAGCACGAGGAAAGACAGAGGACGACGTAGGCGACGACGACGTCGACGCGGTAGGAGGGAGGACGGCGACGACGACGACGACGACGACGACGCAAGAGCGCGCGCGCACGCTTTTGTTGAAAACCCGTGTTGCGAAACGTTTTTTTTTTTGTAGGTTTTTTGAACACGCGATTTTGAAATCGTTCCGAAACCGATGGGTTTTGAAGGATTTCGGCGTACGCGCGCGACGACGCGCGCGTCTGCACTTCGTCCCATTGTTTGCAGACGGTTCTCGCGACGGCACACGCGCAAGGGCGTTCGACAGATTTCGACATGCGCGCGCGAAGTTCGCTTGGTAGTATTTTGTGAAAATCTTGAAGAAACACTGGTTTTCTTAAGATTTCTCAAGAGCTCGTGCGTAAGCTTGTTTAGGCCATCAGTGTTGCGAAACCATTTGTTGTTGTATGTTTGTTGGAAACTCGATTGGGAAATCCTTCCGACACCGAAGGTGTTTGAATAATGTTGGCATGCGCACGCGACGACGCGCGCGCGTGCACTTCGTTTCGTTTTTTGCAAAGGATTCGTGAACAAGTGTTATGTTAGAACAAAAAATGTCCCCGCGCATCGTTTTTTTACACGGGAACCTCAGGGGGACCGATACCGGCTCCCCGGGGATAGTCTAAATTCATATTTCGGATGGACATGTGGTCAGAATCATCTTTGATTTAGACACCCGAAAAGGGGGGCGGCGAACGCCGGGGGGGGTAGAGTCTATTTATTCATTTTGACCGTCTTGAAGCTGTCTTCTCCAGTGCTCGTGCAAACATCCCACCCTCCCACCCACAACTTGGTCGCAAGACCCCTTGAGACAAAACCGTGACGGTAGGTACCACATGGCACTTGGCCACGACACCGACGACGACAGCGACAGCGACAACGACGACAACGGCACCGCCGACACCGACTACGACGACGCCGACGACGTCTCCCAACGACTTCGACGGCGACAACGACGATGACGACGACGACGACGCCGACGACGACGACGACGTCGACGCCGACGACGACGATGACGACGACCACGACGCCAACGACGACGACGACGACAACGACGTCGCCAACGAAGATGACGACGAGGGAGGAGGGAGGATGACGACGGCGACAACGACGACAACGACGACAACGACGAGGGAGGAGGAAGGACGGCGACGACGCGAACGACGAAGAAGGAGGAAGGACGGCGACGCCGTCGACGACAACAACGAGGGAGGAGGGAAGACGACGACAACGACGACGACGACGACGACGATGGCGACGCAATAGGAGGGCCGACGACGAGACGCCGACGACGGATGATGACGACGACGACGAGGGAGGAGGAGGAAGGACGACCACGGCGACAACGACGACGGAAACGACCACGGCGCCAAAGAGAACGACGACGACGAACACGAGGAAAGACAGAGGACGACGTAGGCGACTACGACGACGACGACGCGGGAGGAGGGAGGACGGCGACGACGACGACGACGCAAGAGCGCGCGCACGCTTTTGTTGAAAATCCGTGTTGCGAAACCTTGTGTTTTTGCAGGTGGGTTTTGAAGGATTTCGGCATGCGCGCGCGACGACGCGCGCGCCGGCGCTTCGTCGCATTTGTTGCAGAGGATTCTTGCGACGGCACACGCGCAAGGGCGTTTGACAGATTTCGACATGCGTGCGCGCGAAGTTCGCTTGGTAGTATTTTGTGAAAATCTTGAAGAAACACTGGTTTTCTTAGGATTTCGCAAGAGCTCGCGCGTAAGCTTGTTTAGCAAATCAGCGATGCAAAACCGTACGTTTTTGCATCATCCGACACCGAAGGTTTTTGATTAATTGTGGCATGCGCGCGCGACGACGCGCGCGCGCGCACTTCGTCATATTTTTGGCAAGGGATTCGTGAAACAAAAGTGCTATGCTAGAACAAAGGAACCTCAGGGGGACCGATCCCGGCCCCGCAAGCATAGTGCAAAGTCATATTTAGGATGGACATGTGGTCATAATCTTATTTGATTTTCATACCCGAAAGGGGGGCCGATAACGCCGGGGGGGTAGAGTTCATTTTCGTTCTAGAGAGGAGAATCTATGCCATGCAATGGCTGCAGCGCAAACTATATCGCGCGATCTGTCTTGCGCGATCAACGCGATGTCATTAATTTATGTTCGCAGTGGGTTGACAATCCCATCGTTCGCGCATTCCTCACTCGCCCGCCCGCAACTTGGTTTGCAAACCCATGCGGTGGCGATTGCGACGATAGCTCGGCGCTGGTTGGCGGACCTCTGCGGCCGCGCGCAGAGCGGCCGGCGAGTCTGGCTCGACCGACGCGGCCGCGGCGACGCTGGCTGCTGGGCACTTGCAAGCGCGTCTCGCATGCCGCGCTGACGCGCGGACACTTCAGCGGGAGTCGGCGACTCGGGTGGGCGCGGTATCATGGCGACGTCGACGACGGCAGACGCGATTATTGTAGCGATGCTGGTGACGGCGATGGCGACGTCGACGACAAGGCCAATGTCGGCGCCGATGCTGACCACGCCAACGACAACGACGAGGTTGGCTACGCGTCGGCGATGAAGGCTTCGGGGAGATTTCGACGGGCGCGAGTGGTCCACGTTGCAGTATTTGACAGGGGTCGCCCCCCCCCCCCCCCCTGGTCCACGTTGCAGTATTTGACCGGGGTCGCCCCCCCCCCCCCCCCTCGGCTCGCACGCAAGCAGGGGCGTTCGAATGATTTCGACATGCGCGCGCGAGAGGCCCGTTTGGTCGCATGCGGTGGCAATGTCGAGCAATGTTTGTATGTCCGAAATTTGCGAGCGTGCGCCTAATTTTCTTGTGGGGGGGGCGGGATAATCGCGTTGCGCAGCCAGGCGCAAATTGCGCGTTTGCGGGGCATTCGATTTCGAGATCCGCGCGAGCACTGCGGTTTTGGAGCGATCCTGGCACGCGCGCGCGACAACGCGCGCGCGTGGATTCTGTCAATTCGTTCATTCTTGTTCCCCACATGTTTAGTGGGGTTATGGTTTCCTTTTCTCCCGCGCCCCGCCCGCGCCACCCTCGCTCGCCCCCCCCCCGCCTCCCCCACCTTTTCTTCCTCTCTCACACGTCGCCCGTGCGCGACGCATGCGCGGCTCGCGCGTGAGACCCGCGTCTACGCGCAGCCGCGCGCGTGCGCGCACTCGCACACGCACGCACACGCACGCGCGTACACCTCACATCGCCAGTGTGCGGCAGGCGTGTCGACTGTATCATATATCAAGACGTATGCGCCGCACGCTGGTCATCCTCGTGATGCGTCCAGGGCATAGCAGGCGGGGCACTTTCTCGACGCCGCTTGGGATGCGCCGGGGGTGGCCCCCCAGCGTGGCCGCTATGCGCGCCAGTCGTCGCATAGCAGGCGCGGCATTTCCTCGACGCCGCGGGGGGTGCGCGGGCGGTCCCCCAGCGCCGCGCGCCGGTCGTCCAGGGCATATCAGTCGCGGTGCTCTCTCGACGCCGCAGTGGGCGCGCAGGCGGTGGCCTCCCATCGCGGCCGCTAGGAACGCCAGTCGCCCAGGGCCTAGTTGGCGCGGCGCTGTCTCGACGACGCAGGGGGCGCGCAGGGGGCGGCCCCTCAGCGCGGCTGCCATGAACGCCAGCCGCCCAGGCATAGCAGGTGTTTTTCTCGACGCCACAGTGGGTGCGCAGGGAGCGGTCCCTCACCGCGGCCGCTATGCGCGCCGGTCGCCCAGGAATGGCAGTCGTGGCACTTTCTCGACACCATGTGGGGCGCGCGCGGGGCGGTGCCCAGCGCGGCCGCCATGCGCGCTGGTCGTCTACGAATAGCAGGTGGTGCATTTTCTCGACGCCGCGGGGGCGCGCAGGTGGTGGTCCCCCAGCGCGGCCGCTATGCGCGCTGGTCGTCCAGGCATAGCAGTCGTGACATTTTCTCAGCGCCATGGGGGGCGCGCAGGGGGTGGTCCCTCACCGCGGCCGCCATGCGCGCCGAGTGTCATCATTTTATGATTTTCGCATATTTCACCGCGCGAGATTTTCGCATGCCCCGCATCCGCTTTCATCACATCAGACAACCTATGAGGATGTAGAGGTTCCTTGGTAGCGCATATTTCCGAGTTGTTTGTTGATGAACGAGTGCGCGCGCATAGTGTTTCTTCGCAAAGGGGCGGCAGTGTCAGAGCTTTTCCCATAATGCAGTACTTGTGGTGATCAGTAGGATCCGTGTAGCATGGCAGTGCAAGCAGGGTAGAGAAGCAGTGTAGCATAGAGAATGCACAATCCCACCATGTGGGATAAGTGACGGGGGAAGCACTGTAGAGTTAGCGTTCCCCGAGAAGCACTGTAGAGTTAGCGTTCCCCAGAAGCTATACAGTGCAGAAGTAACAATCTCACGAAGTGGGATAATATGTTTCTCTGACATTGGAGCGAGAGTCTTCCGTAGCCTTATGCTCGAACCCTGCTAGAAAAATATATCAATCATGGTAGCGTGAGCGATGACCTTCCGTACCTTTGAGTATACATTCAGACTGCAGGTTCCCGTGCGATGGAGCTTTCAGCAGAGCAGCAGCGGTTGGTGATGGACATGATCAACCGCCAGGTGGAGGAAAGAGCCGCCGCGGACAGGCAGGCAGCGACGAACATGATCGAACAGGAGCGTGCCAGGTTCAATGAACAGCTGCACGCAGCGACCCAGCAGAACAACCAGATGGCCGAGCAACTCCGTGCTCTGGAGCAGGCACGGCAGCAACAGCAGGCGGCGTTCCAAGCATTGCAGGCGCAGCAGCAGCCACAACAGCCAGGACCGGGACGCCAGGCCGACTTCCCCAACTCGTCAGACGACAAGCTCGTGGACATCTTGGCCAGTTCACAAGCAAGGAAGAGGATTTCGAGGAGTGGAGTTTCAAGCCGAAGTCAGGCATCAGCTCGCTCAGCGAGGAGGCGTGCCATCTGATGGATTCCATCGAGGAGGGCCCAGAGACCGACGTGACCAACGGTCCTGACATCGTCAGGTACGGCCTAGAGACGTTATCAAAGAAGCTCAACTTCGCGTTGGTGATGCTTACGCGACTGCAGCGAAGATCGTCAAGAAGGTCTCGTCCAAGAACGGTTTTGAGGCATACCGGCACCTCGTCAAGCGGCACGGCCCCCGCGGTGGAGGCAAGACCGTGGCGTTGATGGGCCAGATCTTGGACTACGCGCTCGGCGAGCCCAAGGACTTCCACGACAACTTGGTTTGATGGGAGGCACTGATAGACCAGTGGGAAACGGAAGCAGAGGAGAAGCTTGCGGACAGCGTGAAGTGCTCAACGCTTATCCTCAAGTCCCCGAAGATCTTGAAGGACCATCTTTTGCTCACCACAAAGAAGAAGGATTACGGCAAGCTCCGAGCGAAGGTCGAGGACTACATGCACAACGTGGTCAACGCCAAGCCGAAGAAGAAGGGCGAGGACCAAGATGCCATGGACGTCGGTTGCACCTGCGGCAAGGATTTCAAAGGCAGCAGGTACGCCGGTTGCAAGGGCAAAGGAAAAGATGGTAAGTCGAAATCCTCCGACGGCACAGGCAAGGACGGCAAGTCGAAGTCGTCCGGCAGCAAGGGCAAGGATGGCAAGTCGAAGTCTTCAGGAGGTAAAGGCAAGGGCGCGTAGTGGTCCGACTCGTCTTGGCAGAGGGGCAGTGCATGGTCGTTCCGTCAACGCCAACTGGGCTTCCTCGAGCGGCTCCTGGCAGGAGTCGCAGCAGGCCGATGCGGGCAACAGGAAGGCGACCAACAAGGACGGCACTATCACCCACTTCTACGAGGACGAGGACGAGTGGATCATGAGCGTTGAGGAGATCTCAGGCGAGGAGTTCGCGCTCTCCACCATCGCCACCAAGAGCGAGACCCGCAAGTACGACTACGGTGACATCGGCGACGCAGTCGACGTGCTGTCTGACTCAGGCAGCAGCGCGACGTGCTGCAACCCGCGGGACTCTCCAAAGTCTCCCACTACCGAAGGCGAAGAGAAAATCTACAGAACGTCGAAGGGCACCGTCCTCAAGTTCTATGGCTACAAGGACGTGGTGCTTCGCAAGGACAGCACCAACATCAAGGTTAGGTTCACAGTTCTCGACGTCGTCAGGCCGATTCTCAGCGTCTCCGACTCGGCGAAGAAGCGCGATATCTCCACGCACTACGAGTGGGGCAACATTTACATGGAGCGAAGGACATCTACTGGTGTTCGAAGGCTTGGGCTGATGGCTCGGGCAGGCCTCTTCTTCCTACCGGCGATGGTTGCAGCTGGCAGCAGCGTGCGCATTGGGAAGTCCCCAGTGCACCACGTCTTCAACAACGAGAGCGCCACGGAACTCGACTTCGGCCCCGTGTCAACCGAGGTGCCGCACCCCGCGGAAGCGGCGCCGGTGGTCCGAGCCCCTGCATAACCAACCCAGCAGGAGCGATATCATCATCGCCCTGGACCACGCGCAGTTCAAGTCTCGGTGCAAGTTCTGCGTAGCTGGGCGCGGGCGAGAGAACGCCCATCACAAGATAGATGAGATCGACCGTAACATTTCGAGAGTTCAGGTCGACTACTTCTTCATGCGTCTGGTCAAGGCGGGGCAGATGCTGACGCGTCTGTCCGCTGTGGATTCAGTGTATCGGCGGAGGCGAGCCGCCGTTCTGGACGCAGAGGGCAACACCGACAAGTACGCGGTGCGCATTCTGAAAAATTTCGGAGACCAGCTCGGTTTCGAGAAGATCATCTGGAGGACCGATCCAGAACACTCGGCTGCCGACCTGATCAGATCGGCCTGCCACGGCCGGGACGGTTGGACGTACGAGTCTAGCCCCAAGGAGAGCAAGGGCAGCGTCGGCCTCGTCGAGCGCACCCACCAGGACGTCGAGGGTCTGACGAGGACCATACTTCTGGACGTCGAGAGCAGGCGCGGAGTTGAGCCGCCAGCCGTGTTCCCTCTCATCGAGTGGATTGTTCGGCATACTGCGTGGCTCACGGACAGGTTCTGGCGCGCCCCTGGTGTTGGAGTCACGCCGTTCGAACTCCAGCACGGGAGACAGTATCACAGTCCGATGGTTCCATTCGCAGAGACAGTCATGTGGAAGGAGCCTGGACCTCACACACTCAAGTTGCGTGAGAAGTTTGGCCAGGGCATTAGGGTCGGCAGGAGCGAGGCCACCAATTGCGATCTGATTCTCACGAGGCAGGGGGCCTTCGAGGCTCGGACCATCCGACGCCTGCCACCGAGCGAACGTCACGATGTTAAATTTCTATTGGCATCGAGAGTAGTCCCCAGCAGGATTCGACCACCCGACGAAGGAGCTAGGCCACCACCCGTTGCAGAGGTACTCGGCCAGCCAGCAGCTCCACAAGTGCCCGCAGCGCCGGGTCAAGTTCAACCTGACCAACCTGGGCAAGCAGCAAGCCAATTTCAGCCAGCAGTCGTTATCCCATCAAGTGGGACAGATCAGCCTGGAGGCCATGCCAAGGACGCGGCCATGGAAGAGCCTCGACAAGGGGCCAAGGCGGAAAGAGACATCGAGGACAGTAATCCACTCGAGCCACCGCCGAAGAGGACAAGGGGCAGGCCAGTGATGTACTACCACTGCCGACTAGCAAGGAGTTCACCCCTGGCTGCTCAGGATGCCTCGGCATTTCGTGCAAGCATAGCAAGTTCTGCAAGGAGAGGAACAAGGACTACCTCGAGCAAGTGGAGATCGAGAAGCTTGCAACGAAGGTCCAGCGCGACGAGGAAAGAGAGCTGCTCCGGAGCATCGAACGAGCAGAGAAAGCATCAAAGGTTCAGCCAGGAGCCAGTGCAGCAGTACAACACTCGGGTTCGCGGCCAAGTTCATCAACAGACCCGTCGCAGCCGCCATCGGGCGACGCGGACGCCATGGGCGCTAGTCACATCTACAATTCGGAGCGAATGGGATTTTTGACACAATCCGTCACCCCGACAACTTCACGAAGGATTTCATCCAAGAGGTTTTTACCAAGTACCACACCGCGTGCCACGTCAACGAGGAGGAGCATTTCATGAAGGACCTGCTGGACGACCCGAACGAGGTCGATTTTGGCGACCACTTGGATTATGACGAGGACGACGGCGAGGCTTTGGATCCAGGCCAGGTCAAAGAGGGCATCGAGAGGGAGCTCGACATGATGCGCGACCTGGACGTCGGCGAACCCGTCAGGCGCGACGAGATAGCCAAAGGTACGAAGATATGGACTACGCGCTGGTGCCACCGCAAGAAGGCTGGTGGAGTTCGAGCACGACTAGTCGTTCATCAGTACAAGTGGATCGCAGGTAAGTCCGACGACAACTTCGCCCCTACGCCCGGCATCGAGGGCATCCGACTTCTCATAGCCGTCGGTCTAGTCGAGGGCGCTGGCCACCACCGGGGATGGGATTGCCATCAGGGACTGTCTTGCGCTTGAAGAAGGCGCTCAACGGACTTCAAAAGGCCAGCAAACTTTTCAGCGAGAAGGTGCAGCGTATATTGAAGGAGGAGCTGGGATTTCGCGCAACACAGGCAAACCCAGTCATCCTGTACAACGAGAGAAGCAGCGTCAAGGTGGCAATCCACGTGGACGAGCCCCTGGGCGTCGGCCGGGAGAAGCAGGTTCTCTCCCTCTTCGACGAGTACGGAAGCGCTTGAAGTTCAGAGTCGGCATCAACTTTGGGCCAGAGACTCCATGTGTCTTCCTGGGGTGTTCGTATCTGCGCTTCGGAGATACGGTCGTCGAGACGCCGAAGAAGAATTACTTCGAGAACGCCCTGAAGGCCATGGTCATGGAGAAGTGCGTCAAGGTCACCACGCCAGGGTCCAAGGAGTGGTTCAGCACGAAGGCCTTGGACTGCCAGGGCGTCACACCCTTAGACAGAGAGGAGCATCACAAGTTCCGACAGGGCGTGGGGAAATTACAGTATGGAGTTGACAAGAGGTTCGACTACAGCTAGGAGTTGAAGCTTTGCGGACGACGTCTTCACGCACCCCGAGCAGTGGACATGTCACGGCTCAAGCGCATACTGCGGTACGTGAAGGGTACTCTGGACTACGGCATCACTTTAAGCATCAAGGACACGAACGACCTCAAGCGACTCGTCGGCACCAGCGACTCGGACTGGGCTGGTGACCCCGAGTCCAGGAAGAGCTCCAGTGTGGGCACGGCATCATGGGGAGGTTGTCTTATCTCCCATTTCTCTCGCACGCTGGAGGTCGGAGCCGTGTCATCACCAACAGCAGAGTTCTACGCATCATGCCCACTGGCAGGAGACATGTTATACATCTCACCCATCCTCGGTGACCTCGGGTGCCCCGTCGAAAACGCCATCGAGACCGACAGCAGCTCTGGGAAGTCCATCCCGCTACGCCGTGGACTTGGTAGAGTTCGCGACTTGGACGTTCGCGCTCTGTGGCTTCAGCAAGCGGTAGCCGAGCGCGCAGTCCAAATGCAAAAGATTCCAGGCGCCGAGAATCGGGCAGACGTCGGCGCGAAGTTGCTGGACGCGAGGACCCTGAGACGCCACCTTCAAAGTCTGGGCATGCGCCAGCTTGTGAATGGCGAGCTCCTGGACATAGAGGACGGCGACCCCGACGGCGAGAACGAAGTTGAGTTGGTCGGAAGGGAGATTAACTACGTTTCGTTGAGCAAATCTCTGACGTGTTCAATATCAGGAAGCAAGCGTTTTATCCCATGTATGTTGCTTGTCTCAAACATGGCAGGCGCGAAGGGCGCAGATCCAACATCAACGAGTCCAAGCACTACTACCAACTTCGACAGCTTCTACGCATTTGTCTTGTTTACTTTCCCGGCAGGTGTGTGCATGGGGCTGTTGATATCGAAGTGCGTGGCATTCTTTCGTGGATGCGAGAGGCCGTAGCCGGTGGAGCATTTGAGCTCAACCCAAGGTCCGTCACCACATTCCGCTAGAGATGCTACGCTCGACAAGCAGGATTGCGTCGCCCCTACAACCTCGGTCTACCAGAGGCCGAAGAGAGCAGCCAAGAAGTTCGATGCGGAGGACCTCAAGCAGTGCGTCTACATCACGTCGGAGTACAGCAAAGTGCACCACACCAGAGGCACATGCCGCTCGATCAAGAATCCCAGCGCGCTGAGGCATCTCCGCATTTGCGAGTTTTGTCACCACGATGACTGAAGGGAACTGCTTGTTGTATTCTAGAACGGCATATGGATGTCTGCATCGCGTATTTCATTCAATCACTAAATGTTCGCCGACGGTGGTGAAACTTCCGCAGCAATGAAGATGTCGATTCCCTTAGCCGCGAAGGCGGGGTGTCAGAGCTTTTCCCATAATGCAGTACTTCTGGTGATCAGTAGGATTCGTGTAGCATGGCAGTGCAAGCAGGGTCGAGAAGCAGTGTAGCATAGAGAATGCACAATCCCACCACGTGGGATAAGTGACGGGGGAAGCACTGTAGAGTCAGCGTTCCCCGAGAAGCACTGTAGAGTTAGCGTTCCCCGGAAGCTATATATATATATACGGTGCAGAAGTAACAATCCCACGAAGTGGGATAATATGTTTCTCTGACATTGGAGCGAGGTTCTTCCGTAGCCTTATGCTCGGACCCTGCTAGGAGAAGATATCAATCAGGTAGGGGGGCGTCGAACTCGGCTTGGCCGGGGCGATGCGACTTCGTATTCAAAATGACCAAAGAGGCCCCATCTCACTTGACTTGCACACCCCCAGGGGAGGGGCCAGAATCCCAGAATCCCGGGGGGAAGAGGGAGAAGTCCTAGTCCTTTGTTTGAAGTGTGGATACATGCGAGGCGGCGACGAGGCGGCGGCGGGGCGGCGACGGCGAGGACATAGCCGCCAGACCATCAGTCAGGCCCAGACGACGGGCGGGGGCGGGGCGGCGACGGGGCGACGACGGCGAGCACATAGCCGCCAGACCAGCAGTCTGGCCCAGACGACGGGCGGCGACGACGTGGCGACGGCGGCGACGGCGAGCCCATAGCCGCCAGATTTAAGTTTCAGGCCCAGTTCCTTCGACGCCAGCGAGAGTCCTCAAGCGCAGGCGCCGTCTGGGAACAAGGCCCCAGCGATTCCAAAACCAAGGAGCGCGCCGCGCGGACGCGCGCTGAGCCTCCGACCGCGACGCCAGACCGCGCCCGAAAAAAAAAGACCGCGCGCAGAAATGCGCGCGGGCAGCACAGCTCACGCATGAAACTTCTGAGGCTCGTTATCCGTGCCAGCATGTGGCTGCGCAAAGGGCCCGCCATCGGATGCATGCGCTGCGTCGGAGGCAGCAACCGCAGCGCGCCCCCATATATGGATCCAGCCAGCAACGTCCCGTTCCAGGAGTTTGTCTACGAGGTCAACGCTTGGCAAATGATCGCAATTGCTTGCGTGGTGCCGCAGCGACAAGCTGCAGCCCGCCAGCGATGGGGTGTCCTGGCGCACAAGATCGCCGCGCGCAGCCCTCCAGACATCATAAACTTCGGCGTGGGTATACGGGGCGCGCGCGCCGATCCTGCCGCCTGCATCCTGTGCGTCCTGAGCGCGAAGTTGGAGGGTTCGAGGAGCGGCGCCCGCTCGCCCCAGGTACTCAACGAGCCGACTTCCATGTGCCTGACAACGAGCGCATCGACGAAAACCTCGCTAGGTTCGAGATGGCGCGACTCGAGGCACAGTCGGCTGAATTCGCAGTGCCAAACAGTCAGCCCCTCACTAAAGTGCTGTTCCGAGCCCTGGGAGTTGGCGCCCACGGGGTCATGCGACTGCTGCAACCACTGGACCGCCGGATGCCGCGCATTCAGGCAGAGCACGAAACCTGAGTCGAGCAGACGCGGTCCGTAGGACAGGACACATCGCTGAGCGCTCACCGGGGAAGGAACATCGGATCAGTATTCGGGCTCGGTCGGGGTGGCTGCAACAGGAGCGCTCACCGCGAGCGCGACGCCGGCGCCCCAGCGCGTGGAAACGGATTTATGCAGAGCATTTGGGCAGGCGATGCTGGCGAAAGCATCGCTCTACTTGCGTTCGCTGGCTTCTATCGATTGCGACGACCCATCAACTTGCGCGCCGATCGCACTGCGACAGCGCCCCCCCGCCCTTCGGGGCGAGGCAGAGCCCGAGGGGTCCGCGCGCGCCGCCGGCGACGATCACATTCATGGCACTTCCTCCGACGCTGCCGCCTCGAACCTGGAACCTGCCGCCCCTCTGATGCGAGGCGGTTGTATAGGAGAGGCGCAGAGGGCAGAGTGTTTACACAGCTGGGAGGAATGGTGGAATTAGTTAATCCAGTATGGGTCGGGCTTGGAGCGCCTCGAAGGAAGCGCGCGCACCCCGATCGCAAGCATCTGGCTAAATGCGGACCGAGGACATTTTGCTCCCCGTCGTCGCCCCCGCATCCCTTGCCCCGCCCCCACCCCCTGGATGGCGTCGAAAGTTTTCGCGGCTCGGGCGGGGGGGCACCCTTTCCCACCTGCTTCCCTGCTCCGCCGTCCGTCGCCCTATCCCGCCCGTCCCGGTCGTTCGAAGAAGAGGGGTGAAGTCCCCAGCGCCGCGCGCCCGCATCAGCGATGTGCCGCCCGTTTGATTCCCGAGCACAACGGCGCAACCAAACAGGGGGGGTCGCCAATGCAAGCGTTCGGGGCGCCTTCCAAGCGCGGGCGGCAACGGCCGCCAGGCACAGTCGCATCGCCGACGCGTTAACGCGTCGGTGCCAGTGGCATGGCCCGCCCCCTTACAAGCGCTGCAATATGCATGGCGACGCGTGGAATATTGACGGTTGAGAGGTTCTTGACATGTGGCACCTCTCGTGCTCTCGGACTGCTGCTGGGCCTCCTTTTGGGGTCCTTCGGGGCCCTCTCGGAGCGTCTCGGGGCCGTTGGGGGCCGGGTCGGCGCCGCATTTCACCGTGGCCGCCCCTGGCCGTGGAAGCGCGCACTTGCAGCTTCCCCGGGGGGGGCGCGCGTTTGCGTTCCCCCGTGGGTGGGCACGTCGACCTCCGCGCTGGGTTGACAGAGTCGGGGCCCCCTCGAGGTGGCGAGCGTTTACTGTTTTGAGATGCACAGGTCAAGGTGTGATATGTTCACGCAGCTGGCGTCTCCAGCTGTGCATTTGCGTGTGCGGGCCCACTCTGTGCGCGGATCCTGCCGCGATCAGCGCGCGCAGATTTTGTTTCCGCCGGTGCATTTGGGGCGCGCCCCTCGCGGGTGGCGCCGACTAGGCGGGGGCGTTCGCGCTTCTCTTTCGGCTGGTCCAAGGGGGGGCGTCGCGCGCGGTCGAAGTGCGCAGCTCGCTTGTTTAACTGCGCATGCGTTGCGCGCCGCTCGCTGGAGCGGTCGCCGGGCGGCGGTTTCCGCGGATCTCCCGGCTGGTCCAGGACGGGGCCGCGGCCCGCGGGGGCAAACGGGCGGGGGGGCGGGGGCGCGGGGCCACGGGGGGGAAGGGGTTCGAGGGGGGCGGGGCGAAGGGGCCAGGGGATCAAAGGGGGCGAGAGGGGTGGGATGGGCCGAGGAGGAGCTGCATCATCGGCGCCAGCACCACGAGGACGACGAAGGCGGGGGCGGGGCAGAAGGGCGGGGGATGATCTGCACTCGGGCGCAGAGGACAGAGGAGGAGGGCAAGCATGCGGATGATGGGGGAGCCTATCCGGCGGTGGATGGAGGAACGAGAATGAGGCGGGTGGAACACGATGAGGACGGGGGGGAGTCGGAGGGGCACGAGGAGGGTCAGGCGAAAGCGAAGGGATATCGGGAGGAGGCGGGGGATGGGGCTCGAGGGCTAGGCGGGCGCCAGCTAACGCTCAGCTGATCAGTGTTCCGCGCGTCCTTGCACCCCTCAGATTGCAGTGATCGGTTGCAGAATTCCATATGCTGGGTAGTCGTGCGCAGCGTGCGGCCAGGCTAAATGCTCGAGTCCACGACGCTCCTGGCGTCGCGCTGGTGCCGCCCCGCTTCGCCTGACCCCATTGGCACGGGCAAAAT